GAAATTTCTTCCCCTTCAGCTTATAGACCTGTCAGTCTACTTCCTACTTTGTGCCAAAATATTTGAAAAATTACTATAAACAGACTCCACACATTATTAACAGAGCAAAAATTTTACCCGATCATCAATTTGGATTTAGATCATTACATTCTACCACTCAACAGTTACACAGATTAACAGATTACATAGCAACAGCACTAGAGCAAAAGATGTATGCTACTGGTGTATTTCTGGATGTTGCTGAGGCATTTGACAGGGTCTGGCACCAGGGACTTCTTTATAAACTTAAGAAAATACTTCCTTCCACTTACTATCTTATATTACAATCATTCCTCTCTGATAGATTTTTCTCTGTTCGACAAGGCTCTGAAATCTCAACTATCAGACCAATTCTGGCCGGAGTGCCCCAGGGATCAATTCTTGCACCACTGCTTTACATAATTTACACACATGACATTCCCCTCTCCAGGGACACTTTGATAGCCACCTATGCTGATGACACTACTATTATCACAAGGCACAATGACCCCACACATGCTTCATATACTTTACAAAATCACTTGCAAATCTTACACGACTGGTTCAAACTTTGGAAAATAAAACTAAATCACAACAAATCTCAAAACATAACATTTTCACTCCGACGCGAAAACTGCCCTCCTGTCTATCTTGACAATGAACATATTCCCCAATCTGACAAAGTACATTACCTAGGCCTAACATTTGACAGAAGGATGACATGGGACCCACACATCACTGCTAAGCGAAAGACACTAAATCAACGATTTAGACTATTATATTCCCTACTGGGACGTCGCTCAAAACTAAAGCTAAGACAAAAACTTAACACTTACACTTACTTACTAAAACCACTTTGGACATACGCATCACAAATATACGGAATTGCCAAAAAAAACTCACATTCAGAAATTACAAATATTCCAGGCCAAAACCTTCAGAACAATTACTCAAGCACCTTGGTATGTTAGTAACATAACTCTCCACAAAGACTTACACATGCAAACCGTCACAGAACATATACAAACTTACTACAAAAGGTTTCACAACAAGCTCTATGGTCACCCCAATAGACTCATCCAAGACATGGCCAATAAAAACATGCCCGATAACATCCGCAGAAGGCTGAAAAGGAGTTGGATGAGAGATCTCCTTAATTAGCCTCAAACATAACTGAAGATAAACCACTGGGTTTTTCTCTTCCTCATGCCTATCATGCCCTTTCTCCTAGTCTATTTGTACAGTTATCTCATTCACTGGTTGTCAGTGGACATTGACAGTTGTGAATTAAAAAATAAAGAGGAAAAAAAAAAAGTATGTAGCGGACAATTAGTTCATCTGCTCGCCACCTGACGCCGCTATACCTAGAGTGGTCTATTAGTTCACCTGTTCGTTACTTAGCAACGCCACATGTGCGCGCTTACTCATTGTTCCTTGTATTGAACTCAGCTACCTCATTAAAGAAACTAAACTCTGTTTATATACATGAACTAATACTTAATACGTAACTTCTCAAAAATTTGATAATATATCATTAATATAATATAGTATTAATATTATATATATATATATATATATATATATATATATATATATATATATATATATATATATAACATAATTTTATTAATTTAAATTAATTAATTAATTTTCAGTAATCAAAACTTAAGTTCATCTTTGGAGATTTGTTAAACACCTTAGACTTAGCTAGATTTAGGGTTAAAGATTTGTTTTTACAGTACTCGCTCAGTATATTGATGTTTCTTTGTGCATCATGCCACGAATTACTGAACAGGACAATATCATCTGCAAACAGAAACATAACTACCTCATAGTCCTGGTCTATACTAATACCAACAGCTCCTCGGTTACGAATGTACTCAACTATATTCGACACAAACAGCGTAAATAATGCAGGACTAAGACTGTCGCCTTGAAACAGGCCCAGGGTGATATCAATCTCTCCTTAGAGCTCATGTTTTAACTTTATCCGCATCGATAAAGCATCATAGAGTTTTTTTTGAGAATTTTAATTAGTTTCTCTCCCATTCCAAAAGAAAAAAGACATTTCCTTAGCAATTTTTTGTTGATGACAAATAAAATGTTTACCTATTAAAATCTAGCCCAGGTGTCTAAAAAAGATGGAAGTCGGTACGAGAGAGGTCTGGAAGGTAGAGCGGGTGTTGGTTTCTGGTTCGGCAAAAAAGTACAGCGCAACACTTCACAACGACGATTAGTTTTGCCGATCGTTTAGTGCATTAATAATCCATGTTTCAAGTTATTTTACCTCATCTGTTGCCTTGAGGTGGACAACGATGTTCAATTTTTAAACTGAGAGTTTCTCTACAAGTTTCTCGAAAAGTGGTTCTGGGATTCTTTTCGAACAAATCTCACAGAATATCGTCATCAAGGAAAGGGGTCCTTTCAAGGCTGTTCTCCATCTCGAATTTTTAAACCATCGTTGAATCGCCCGACTTCGTTTCTGTTTCTGACCATCAAAGAAGAGGATTAATAAGTGTTGACGCCCATACTAGAGAACAACTCCTCAAACGTAAAAAATTTGTTATACTGAGAGTTAATATAAAGAAAACAACCTGCATTATTTTTGGACAATATCACTAAGTTTTATAATGAAACTATTCAAAATTTAAGCAATACAAATTGTGTGTATACATTTATATCCGATAATGAAGATGAAGAATATTTATACCGTCAAATTATTTTATCGTTTCATGTATTTTTTTTAAGCCTCTTGACTTCCGCCATTATTCTTCTCGCTGCATTGGAGCTGTTCTAGGCGATAAGCTGTGATCGTTTTTTTCTCTTGTATCCAGGGAGCGTGTGGTTTATATTGAACGGACACGATCACAAATTACTCCCTCTTCATCAGGATGGTTGGCATCTTTTTGCAGACATCTCTATCCTGTTGTTTTTTACGGGATAGGGTTTATTAGCCCTGTATCGAACCCCCAATCTGGAGGACTAAGGAGCTATACAGTTAGACACAGGGGTCGCTCTCCTTTCAGCAATCGAGTAGGGACTCTACTAGTTTATTTTAATTTATTATTCATTATAATTTCGTTTCATAAGAAATGTCAGTTTCATCGAAAAGGTTATTTAATAAAATAACTTTATGAAATCAAAATAGTTTTACTTAAAATATTTACCCTTATTTTCTATTCATTTTCACCAACGTGTTATCAACTTTTCAATCCCAATACTGAAAGATCCAGGGTGTTATGAAGAAACGAAGTCAGATAATGCATTTTTGACCAGAGAATCATTTTCAAAAAATTTACCTTTAAGGAAATTGTCCAGAGTTTTGGATGGCAATCTATTGGAGATAAGTCTGGTTAATAAGATGGGTGCGGAAGGACTTCGTAACAAAGCTCGTTTAGTTTCTTCATTGTCTGTCGTGAAACATGAGTTCTGGGGCTGTAGTGTAAGAGTATGGTCCCTTCCGATTAAACAATAAAGGATGTTTTTGATGCATTATGTCAATATCACTTTCAGTACGACGTGAATGGGATGATTTCAATTCTGAGTAAAAAGGAGAAATGAATTATTCCAGCCATTGACCATCACTCAGAAACCAATATTTTTTTAGGATGCAAAATTTTGCATTAAAACACCCTTCTACGAACGCCGCTGTAATATTTTTTGCAGCTTGGGATACCGAGTGTCAAAGTTTGAACTCATAAAAAAAAATTGCTCGAAAATCGCGTTTTTACATGGTCATATTTGATGGCATACTAAATTTGATACTAAATAGTGTTCAATCAATTGGAACGATAGTAAATATTATCAAAAACGAGATGAATAATATCGGCTTATTTTAATCTGTAAACGTAAACGCAGTAAACAACAAAAATCCATTAAGCCCATTTAGAATTTCTGAAATAATAAAAATGGACAGTTAAGGCCCTGGCAAAAATTGTAAGCTACGAGTTTAAATCCCGTTCGCGGGATTTAAAACAAAAACAAAAAATAGAAAAAATAATTAATAATAAGTTAAAATAAAAATAAATACTTCCAGTCCCTACTCGATTGTATGGAAAACAACGGCTCGGGTTCAAATCCCCGCGTCTTCTTCAGGTGAGAGATCCAACAAGGTAGCTCCTGAACCTCCAGATTGGGGGTTGGGCACAGGGCCATATTAACCCCATTCCCTAAATATCAACAGGATGGAGAAGTCTGGAATAAGGTTGCTAACCGTCCTGATGAAGAGAGAGTGATTGGTGATCGCGTCCGGTTATAATAAACCACGCCGGAAGATAACCACGCTGCTTCCTGGATATCTATACGAGTATAAGAGAACCAAAGAGCTATCGCCTAGAAGAGCCCCGTAGCTGTTAGAGGACTAGTGACAGAATTCACTATATATATATATATGTGGAATTACCCACTAGCGGATCCAGGATTTAATTTTGGGGGGGAGGGGCTTCAGCCCGAAAGCTTTTTTTTTCATAAAAATAACGATAATTACTTTGGAAAATAAGAAAGAAACTAACTACCTATCTGAACTGGTGTTTAAGTGATTCATAAAGCCCTTTTAAATGTAATTATATGAACGATTATACTTTTTCGATAAGACATGGTTATATTTTACCATTTTGGGGGGGACTTCAGCCTGAAAGCCCCCCTCCCCCCCCCGTAGATCCGCCCGTGGAATTACCCAATTTAAACATATAAAGTTTTCTACGATTCTGATTATAATATCACAATAAAACGGCGTATACATCCCAATATTAAAAAAAAAAAAAACTGGTAATGGAAATAAGCTGAAAATACTTCAAGGTTTATCTGACTAGTAGATGGTTTAAAGAGAAAAAAGGAAGAAGAAGAAAGGAACCCACAATAATATGATGTCAATTCAAATTTACTGCTGCGCCAAAGGAGTTACTAGGGTCATTACCTTGACTGTGAACTTATGCTTTTGATGTACACTTAAGGAAAGGTGCTTTCTCCTCTGTGAGGGTGGTGGGGTTTGGAGCAGCTTCAGTCGACTGTCCACCACCTTCAACCAACATGCTCCAAGCGGTCACCTGTCTCCCTTCCGGCAACAACCATCTTCAAGGTAAACCCCCTCATCCTTTAAGGTTTTTTTATTTTTTATTTTTAATAAATAAATTATGAAATATATTTTTAATAAATACCCCTGAGATGTCTGCATCTTCATAACGAAATATCAAGTGGTATAAGTATAATATTACGTTATTTTTAAAGTTGACAAGTTGTTTGAGGTTGCAGTCAGTGTGCCGACGTTTCGGCCATAATTTCAAGACTTTATCAGGTCTGAGAAAATACAAGATAACGACTAATAAAATATATTATATAATAAAACTATTATAAAATCATATGAGAACAAAATATATTTTATCTGCTGATAAATAAATCCTAAGAAGTGAATAAAAAAATTTAAATATATAAGTATTGTATGTAATGGTAAGGAATGAAAAATAGGCAAAATATAATGATAAGCAGTCAATTTTTATAATTTAATATAATAAAATAATGGTTTATAATATATATATATATATATATATATATATATATATATATATATATACAGGTGTCACACAAACCATTATTTTATTATATTAAATTATAAAAATTGACTGCTTATCATTATATTTTGCCTATTTTTCATTCCTTACCATTACATACAATACTTATATATTTAAATTTTTTATTCACTTCTTAGGATTTATTTATCAGCAGATAAAATATATTTTGTATATATATATATATATATATATATATATATATATATATATATTATTAAATGATATTTTAAAAAATGTACATTTTTTCACATGTATCACACTGAATGTTTTCTGCAAAAATAACTACAATTAACTGTTGAAAACCTTTTATTTCTTGTTTTTCTGTGATATGGGATATACTTTCGTAATCATAATTGCCTAAAAACACATTTTGCTTATAAATATTTTTTTTTTTATTGATGATATTTACAACTGTATTACAAGTAAAAATACATTCAGTAAATGTCAACAAAATAATATAATAGCATGAAGTCACTTGTTGAGAAAGTACCCACTGGTAGCACTCTAAAAATGTATTTACAAAAGGAGATCTCGAGGCCATCTTCTTTTCAGACGCCTCGGAGATTGTATAAATATAAAAATTTAAAAAAATTAATTTTTTATGTAAAGTGGTTATCTTGCCTTTCCTCGGCTCCAACAAAGGCCTGAAACTTTAGGCTGAAATTTCGGCACAAAATTAAATTGAATAAAAAAAATTTATTTGTGTTTCTCACTGACTGCAACCACTAATTAAATTCAATGGTATTATCTACGGTATTCTGTTCTCACACCATTATGTTATTTTTAATTTATTTGATTAAGTTTGTAAGAGAGTTTTATGAAATATCAATTATTGGACTTATCTATTTGCTTTCTAACCATTCGTATGGAATGTATTATTATTGGAAGTACATTAACCTGGAATTGCATAGATAATTTCAATTTGACCGATGAGTATGGTCATCAGAATAGGAAAAAAAATGTATTTGATTTGGAAAATAAAATGTATATAACTTGGAAATAATCTATATCTTTTTATCAACCCTTTTTAATGAAGTGTTCACAATTTCGGTTTGATAATTATTTGAAAAATAAATGAGTGCTAGTAGTAAAGTTTTTTGTGAATTTATCCTCTTCTTCAAAAATGATTTTTTAAATTTATTTATTAAATTACATATAATTATATACGTCTCCCCTTGCATGCCCTTGTATACCAGAGTCCCGAGGATTTTTTTACTCATCTTCAAGGATATATTTTTTTCTTATTTATCTCACAATCGTAATTTAACTATATTTTCTTCTTTTTGTTCTTCCATACTCCTTACACTTCGTATTCATTTGAAGGTAAAAAAAAACTTTTTAATTTAAATAGGAATATTTCACCAACCCAAAATATATTTAAATGACCATTGTAACATAAAAAAAAATCCTTAAAGATGATAAGAAAAGTATCCTCGAAACGTAGGTAAATAAGGCAAGCAAAATAAGATGTATATATTCAAAATTTAATTGAATATAAAAATTACAATTAAAAAAAAAATTATCTGAATATGAAACACAGGTACTCGTTTTCTTGTTGGTGGCTGTTCTTTATATTTTGTTACAATAACAGCAAAATAGATAAGGATTATTGTGTGGTAAAAATGGGCAGCTAGATAAGCTCAGCGATAAACAAACCGTTGATGGGTTTCCGATACTCATCAACGATCTCAGGGCTTAGTTTTGGTTCTAGCCCAATGCTACATGAAGGGGTAATTGAGTTCGTTAGGGTTGGATGCACAAAAGTGTTAGGCTGAGTCCGATAACCTTCTCAAGGGCTATCGTATCTTTAAAGATTACGATTTGTAATGCGGAAATAAAGTAAATGGTAAATAGACAAGGGATGAAACAGTGCCTTATAAAGATAGTAGGCATTATTTTTCATCCAAATATTCAACAATTAATGTACGATCTCGAGGGTAGTTAATTATTAAATGGAGTTAAATAATTGTGTAAAGTCCTTTACCTTATATAGAAAGAAGTTTCGTGAAGAATTATTCGCCATACTCTGTTTGTATGGTAGATAGATGTCTACTCCAGAAACTAAATACGTATCAACAAATTAAGAGGTTGAAGAAAAAAAAAAAAGTCAGATTTAATGACAGACATTACTTTTATTATACAGGGTGTACACCTTAAAAGAAATATTTAAAAGTTTGATATTAGACATCAATATCTACAAAAATTTTCAAATAAGCAATTGCCCAATTTTCAGCAGAAAGTTAGGAAATTTAAGATTTGTGTTTTTTTAGGAGGGTCACGTTTTTTGTTGAATATGGAGCGACAACTTAAAAAATATTTAGTTTAAGTAACTAAATATTGCTCCATAGTAAACTAGAAAAAAATTACTTTAAAAGAAAGAGTTTGCCATTGTTAAAACAATTTAAGGAGGATTATTGAGCTGACAAACACAGCTAAGTTTCGTTTAAAAATAAAGGCATAAATTATTTGTGATTTTTTCTTATTACCCTTCAACTGTACCACTGGCGGATCCAGAATTTAATTTTGGGGGGCTTCAGCCCGAAAGATTTTTTTTCATATATATAATATATCGATAATTAATTTTAAAAAAAAACGAAATGAACTAACTGTATCAAATGGTGTTTAAGTGATTCTTGAAGTCCTATTAAATGTAATTACACGAACAATAATACTTTAAGAGATAGTTTTTATTACTTTTTTCTATAAAACATGGTTATATTTTACCATTTTGGGGGAGGGGCTTCAGCCCGAAAGCCCCCCCCCGTAAATCCGCCTGTGAACTGCTACTACATTTACCCCACTTTAATACAAACTTTCTACTTTAATAAGCTTTAAATACATATTAATTAAGTTGAGGGTAATTATAAAAAAATTTGAGATTCATCTCAAGTTGTGTAAAGAAAATTTCCTATACAGTCACTTGAAAGCAACCGTGTTTTCTGCAAAAATGACAACAATCAGCTGTTGAAAAGCTTTTATTTCTTGATTTTCCTTGATATGGGATGTTCTTTCATAAACATAATTGCCTAAAACCACATTTTATTGATAAATATAAAAAATTAAAAATAATGATTTTTTATGTGAAGGGGTTATGAAATTATTTTTTCCTCTCAGATCTCCGTCATAAGAATTGATATTATGTTTATGAAAGTACATCCCATATCACGAAAAAACAAGAAATAAAAGCTTTGTAACAGTTAATTGTCATTTTTGCGGAAAACACGGGTACTTTATGGTGACTGGATATGAAATCAAACCATTTCTTTTCAAATCTTTTGGTGAATTTCAATTTTTTTCATAATAAACATCAGTTTAATTAATATGAACTTAAAGCTTATTAAACGAAGAAGTTTTTGTAAAAGTGGGGTAAATGTAGTACATTTGAAGAGTGATTAAAAAAAATCATAAATAATTTATGACTTTTTTTAAACGGAACTTAGCTGTTATTGTCCGCTCAATAGTCTTCTTTAAATAGTTTTAAGAATGACAAACTCTACTTTCCTTTAAAGTAAATTTAGTCTAGTTTACTATGAAGTAATATCTAGTTACTTAAATTAAATATTTGTTAAGTTGTAGCTTCCTATTCAATTAAAATGGCGACTCGCTTAAAAAAACACAGATCTTAAATTTCCTAATTTTCTGCTGAAAATTGGGCAATTGCTTATACGAAAATTTTTGTCGATCTTGATGTCTACTATCAACCTTTTAAATATTTTCTTCTACTTACGGGGCATCCTGTATAATACATATTTTTTTTAAATAATTTTTTTAGAAACAGAATAATCTCTCTGTAAAAAATCGGTCTTACTATACCGGCAAGTTAAGAAAAGTTTAAACTCAAAGAAGATTTAATTTTAACTAAACATTATTATCATCTTGCTATTTCTCCTGAAAAATTCTGTTTCTCAAAATAAAAATGAGGAAATTTTACCTTTTTTGTTTGTAGACTGTTAAGTGGAAAATTGGTTGTTTTTAAGAAGACCTGCTACACGCAAGGACGAATTCCTTTTTTATATAGTTAAGTTAAATGTTTTTCTTACTTCTTTTTTTTTTTAAACTTTGTTGTTGGATTTTTTGTAACTTGGAAAAGTTGAACTTGACTCTCTCTCTCTCTCAAAAAAAAAAAAAAAAAAAAAAAATGTTTACGTTAATAATAAATAAAACAGTTATCGAGATTAGAGTAAAGATTTAATTTATCTTGAATCGCTTAATTTTTATATTTCTATTACTATATGTTATTGTGAGTTCTTAGTTGATTAGCCGTAATAAATATATTTATACCGTGGTCGACATTTCATTTTATCAACGCAAATATGTAAAAAAAAAACAACAAATAAAATGTCATCTTGTTCATCCTGATTGATAATAAAATAAAATGTCATTGATTATTCTTCTTCTATATTCTTTTATTTCAATAGCTTTGTATGTACTGCTCAATTACCATTGTTTTTACAAAAGAACTTTTAAATAAATTCCCTAAAATATTTTTAATTGAAAAAGGAAGGACATG